AGGGACCAATGTTCCGGCTTGAAGTGCCAATGTTTCGTACAATCCGAATCGTAGTACCAACGTTTTTTGTAATCCGGTTGATACGACCATGTATGGTCTTCCGAATTGTACCTTGATATTGCTCGAAGGACCTTTGTTTGTTATAATTGAAATAATGGACAGCGTTCGGTTTTGATGTTTAATATAGGACGGTTACAGAAGTAGGTGCTAAAATTACAGTGCTATTTACAAAATCAGGTAAAGATACCCAAAAGGGTCAGTGGCCGCTTCCGGAAATGCAACACATAATATTGGATATTATATACAGGTAGATGCCTGTAATACTACGATATTTTTGATAACTTACTATACATGGCACATTTCGCTTCATTGTAAAAAGTATTGACAACGAGATTTTCCTGATAGGCTATACGTTTTTGTCAATGCAACTATTTTACGATTATCCGTTAGATTCAAGTAAATTTAGCATTTTTAAAATGCAGAATTTGTCTTCTGCTTTAAACTGTAATCCCTTAAATTTAATAATTTGGCTATTATTGCCCATAGACGAAAAAATGATTGCATTTCCATTAATCCATGCACTCTAATGGGTTTTTCTTTTCAGTGCAATAAATTAAGGCAAACTTAAAAAAGTTAGGTTATTAATATGATTGTTAAAACAGAATTAATTCTTAACGGTACTTTTTTGTGTGTTGGGGACAGTCAAGTCGTCATGAATTAGAAAGTTTTACAGTGTATTTTCAAAGCAAGTAACTTCAACAATGCGATTCAACTGTCTTTTCCCTTTATTCTAGTTTTTTATATATTTTTTGTAAATAGATTTTTTGTGTTTTTAAGACTGATTTATAGTTTATTATAGTTTTCTTTTAATATTCTTTGTAACTAAATAGATTTCTTTGTGTTTTTAAAACTGATTTTTCTTTAAATAGCATATTTTATTGCAACGTTTATTTTTGATTGTATATTGTATATTATCCTTTTTTTTGTTTATAGTAATTTGACTCGTAATTACCTGTATGTAGATTTGTTTGTGTTCTTAAAAGTAGTTTATCATTAATTTGTTTAATTGACATATATTTTTTTATTTGTTTATTGAAGTTCATTGTTGGTTGTACAGAATTGTAGTAAATTTAATTTTTTTTACACTAATTTGTTTTAACTTTAATTAATACATATTTTGTTTTGGGGTTTACCTGGTGATTATAACGAATTATAATATTTTATTTAAGGTAAATAACATAAAAATATAAAAATATTTCAGCGTTTTAATTATTGCATATTTTTTTCTAAAAATCAAAATATAAAAAACGTCTTAAAATGGACAATAAATGCCGTCTATAAGACGTCAGTACATCACGTCAATAGTTCGTCAGAAAATGACGTCATCTGGACGAGACATTTGACCGTCATTGGTACGTCAATATCACGTGAAATCTTTGGTCACTATGACGTAATTGATGACCATTTATTCACGTGAAAAAGACGATATCATGTTGCCTAGGTTGATGACAATAATGGACCATTCGGAGGTACGGGATAATCACACATCAGTCGATTATTATCGAAGAAGGCACAAAAGCAAGATAACACATGCATGAGGGTTTAAATTTGGAATCTTAACTTACTGAAAACCATGGAACTTTTCTAAGTCTTCCTTCACAATTTCGGTCAAAGAACACTCAGCTGGACAAGGCTTCAACACAGCACTACTTGGGTATCGATCGTCGTGGGTACTTCTCGTCTTCGTGGCACACTGGATTCGACTTGCTCTTTACTCTCGATTTTGCGACCTTTTATACGGCGTTTTTGTCATTAATTATGTCTTTGGTGGCATCTTTATGAGTGCACGTGTGGCATCGTGGTATTCATATTTAGGTCAGTTGATAAAAATCCAATCCTTTTGGGCTTTATTTAGAGGTTTTATAAGTTTTAGTTTCTTTGTTCCGGAAATTTCGTCAGACTGATAAGTCGCAAAATAGATTGATGGTAATGCGTGAGATTTGGTTTGTTTTATGCTTCTTTTATCTTGCGTTGCGTTATTGTGTAACGCCTGGGTGCCTTATTTACTGGTTGACTAAAGTTATATTTTGTTTGTATGCGGAAGCCTTTGGTATTTAATTTGGTGTGATTTATTCGGTGTTTGTTCCTCTGTGTTTTTAATTGAATGTCGTTAGTATCACGTGCAAACGTGGATTCTTCTTTGTCTTGTTATCATTTTAACGTCACGTGCTGTCACCATCTTGGAACTTTTGCTTGGGTGTGGTATTTAGCTAGGGTTGACTGAGTGAGTGCTTCTCAATGGTGTGCGAATATAGGTTTGCAATTATCTGGTGGTTGGGTAATACATACGCGATTCGACATGCGCAATTTGCTTGCTTTTTGCGAATATGCTAATTTAGTCTTTGAGTTAGAAAATTATGTTCTGAAGTTTCTTATTGCGGTATTTTGCGATTTCTCCTCAAGGGTGGACCGTCACACCACCTTGTAAACAGAGTTGGTAAAACGTTCGAATAAAAACGACGTAAACACTTTAAGTTTCAATTAAAAGTAAAACTGACTTTTTGCTGCTTATCATTCGTTCATTCATTTATTCATTCATCGGATGTTTAGTCCTTGCCACAACGATTTTACATTGTTTATTGGAACAAAAATAAGAGCAACTTAGAATGCTACTATCTTTTTACAAGAAATGTTGAAAATGTTGTCCTTCACTAGCAATAGAGGCGTCAGAGCGTCGCAAGGGATTTGTTGATAGGTAAAAAAACACCGGAGTAGCGGCTGCCACTTTCACTTGTTGTTGAAGCTCTTCGATTATTTCTGGACATTGTTGATTTCCACAAACTAACTGTTTCATCCAACCGATACACATTTATAGAAAACCATCTCTTGAAATCGTACTTGTTGACGAACACGTGGAGTTTCATCGGAAAAAGTGAGTTACACACCGTGGACAATCAGCGGGCTCCAATCCGTGCACTTTGTGAACATGGTATGGCTGTGTTCTTTTAATGTAGGATGCACTACAAGCTCTGAAAATCCAACTTCTTCTTTCTGTCCTATCACGGCCACGATCGTGAGTTTGAGACTGAAGGTACCATGATCTCGGAGATGTTGCAATTTCACCGACCGCTCGATGATGACTGGCCCTTTTCGTGTTTTTAACGTTGCGATTAAAAAAGTGCCTGATAAAGTCGCTTTTTTGGATCTTAATCCGAGTCGCTCTGCCCCATTCATTGTAGTAATTATGTAGGTCACGAAACATTACCAGCGGCGCGTATAACAATTTACATTTAATTTCAAACAATTTTTTCTAGACACTGCTACCACATAGGATCGTGAATTTTCCCCAGTGACATAATCATATTGTGAGCTAGTCCCCATTTTTTACTTCCCGAGCGTAAGCAAAGGAAGTATTGTAATCGAGTCCGTCGGCCGACTCTCTACTTTTACGATCTTTCATGACCCGTAGAAGACGAAGAAATAGGTCTCCCATTTCCGTCTGTTTGTCCGTCTGTCCGTCTGTCTGTCTGTCTGTCTGCCGTCCCGGATTTTTATTAGACAGATAATCTCCGAAAGTTCTGGACCGATTGTTGCAAAATTTTGTACCTATATTAGAAATATCATGTAGATGGTAAAACGCTAACCAAAATTTGTCTAATCATCCCCACCACTAATGCGATGACATCACTTCAAAATTGTACATAGTAAATAAAATAACATAGTCCTACACATGTAGTTTACTACTCCGAATTGAGTTTTTACCCCACACGTCCAGATTTTTGGAAAAAAAAATCAAAATTATAAAACAACATTTTGCAATTTAATTTTGAATCTGCTAACCCGAATGTTTTGAAATGTTGCAGATGTTTTAAGGTTATAAAGAACATAATAAATGTTTAGTCAAAATATATTTGCTTTTACCTCCAAAAAATTGATGACGTCAGCTCGAAAGTTTGCCGAATAAATCCTATCTAAACTGTACAAAATATGATGAGTCTGTACTTGTGATTTATCACTCCATTCATATTTTTTGGATTTGCATATACTGGGTGACTCAAAAAAAATAATGAATGCGTAAATTTATTTTAATGGTTCACTCAGGAACTACAGAACCGAATGTTTTGAAATCTTGCAGATGTTTTAAGGTTATAAAGAGCATAATAAATTTTTAGTCAAAATATATTTGGTTATCTTTTCCAAAAAACTGATGACGTCAGCTCAAAAGTTTGCCAAATAAATCCTATCTAGAATATACAAAGTATGATGAGTTTGTACTTGTAATTTATCATTTCATTCATATTTTTTTAATTTGCTTATACCGGGTGACTCAAAAAAAAAAAATGAATGCGTAAATTTATTTTAATGGTTCACTCAGGAACTACAAAACCGAATATGCATGCAGTCGTCACGTTTCCGACAGTGAGGGAAGTACTGTCTAAACTCTTTAGACTAATTTTTTTTGCATGTATTTTGCAATCACCTTGTCTGGACGAGAGAATTTTTATTTTAATTAATCATAATAAATTTTTATTAACTCGTTTTATAAAAATGAAAAAGTTTATTTTTACATATTTCTTTAATTAAAACTTAGTTCAATTTTATCATTAACAGTGATACACTTCTATTTTGGTTTCAATTAAAAATGTCAGTCAATTTATCATCTTTATAATATTTTAGCAAGTAATTTAATGATTTGGATATGAAAACTAATATCAATAACATCTCCTGTACACTAAAATCTCCAAAATTTTCTGCCATTGACAGTAAATTAAGATAAAACAAATTCAATGGAAAAAACAAGCTATGCAGTCAGAGCAATAAAATAAACTTGTTTTTGTTATCTATCCAAAAATGGCTGCATTAGATAACGAATTATTATTTACAGTCTAAAATATTTGAAGTACCTATTTCGTTTACACTGGGATCACGTCATGGAGATTATCATTAATTTTAGGTTTAATAACAAACGATGATTATCTCTAAACCAGTTAACACAAAGCTTTTATTTTTCTTAAAAATGTTTTATTGACGAATGTTGGATACAAATATATTTTAATCAATGTTATTTTTGATAGCTTGGAGCAACACGTCTACAGTACCACAAGATCCATGGAAATCATCAGTATCAATAGACCAAATAGCAACACCAGCCAGTCCATTGTCAGCAGCGTACTTGGCCTAAGAGAAACGTAATTAAAGTAAAAATAAACAAAAACTTTATGTACGCCCACCTTTATTCCAATAGATTCTGGATCGTCAAAGCTAGCCCAGTTGAAGCTATCGTAGCTGTAAGGAACTTGAGCTTCATCGTCCCAAACTCTAGTCCAGTCATTATAGTATTCGCAAATCTAGAAAACTGCCCTTACTACGAGATTCTCGATACTAAAAATTTGTGCGCACCTCATTGTAACCCAACACACCGGGACTTTGGGTCAAGGGACCACCAATTCCAGTGGTTGCTGAATCTCCAATTCCGTGTTTGGTTTCATCAGCGAGAGTGAAAGAATGTCCATAGAATGGTACGCTGAGACTTAGTTTGGCGCTGTCAGCTCCAGCATCCAACCATGCGTGAACAGAAGTATTAACACTTTCGGGTCCATAAAGTGGAGCGTTATGACCAGTGACTCCTCCTTGTCCGGCTACATGGTAGTCGTAGCTCATGATGTTAATCAAATCTGCAACACTGTTTAACCAACTTAAGCAACATTCTTTCACTAGACAACAAATCTTACGCTGTAATTTGTGGTACATCATACGAAGAAAGGGGAGTGGCAGACACGGTCACAGATATCAGATAATTGTTTGCGTCAAATGCGGTTCTCATTTCTTGCAAAAGTTTGACAAAATTTGCCTAAAAGTAGTAGTTAGTGACGCTCATGGGGAAACATATGATAATACCTTATCACTGTTGACTGGATATTCCCAATCGATATCAATACCATCATAGCCCCATTGTTGGAAGAATGAGATGCAGCTCGCAATCAAATTAGCCCTAAGTGTAGAAGATGCAGCGACTCCATTTAGAATAGCATTTCCAGCATTCCAACCACCAATGCTGACAAGTACTTTTAAGTTTGGATTCACTGATTTCAAACTTTCTACATTTTGAAGGCCACCTAGGTCTATTTCGTTCCAAGAATCCAGAATTTTGAGACTTCCGTCGGTGTCTACGCCCAAGAAAGCGTAGAAAACGTGGGTGCAAAGATTGGGGTCGATGTTATTTGGTTTGAAGGAGCCATCGCCGTTTCTGTAACCAGCCCAGCTGGCAAAGAAGCAGATGATTTTGTCTGGAAAAGAATTCCAGTTAAAGTTTTGGATTGAGAGGTTTAATAATTACCTGTTGCAGCGCTGGTCTGGTGTGCTGAAATTAGTACAGCTGAGAAAACGAGAAGAAGCTTGAAGATCATGTTGAATGGTTTGGTAATGCTGAAAGGAAGTAGCACTGAGTATTCGGACAAATTTGCGATATTTATATACAATTTTAGTGTGGTTATCTTAAGGGTAATCAAATAAACAACAAACAAAATAAATCTATTATAACTGAGTATCTATTGCTAAATCTCGTATGTTACAAATGCTGTCATTGATAAACCGAAACAATGAACTCTATTAAAAGGGAAGTGTCAAGTTAAGTATTGTACGTTCATTCTCAGAAAAAACTGTCTACGGAGTACGTACATCCGTTTTAAAGTGGTTTTCACTATTTCCTTGTCTCAAATGTAATAATTTTTAAACACAAACAGCTAATTAAGATAAACTACAAAAAGTCGCAAAAGTTCTTTAATGATTGTCGAGTAATGTATTTAATAAATTTCAAATACTTTAAAATTCAAAAATGAAACAAAAGTGTATCATTGCAAATGCAGTTGTTTATATTTCCGTTATGATGTAAATATTTAATTTTGTAGACGTTCGGATAGCTTCAGTTGAATAAGTCAGTATTAAACTACAATGGATTTTTACCAAAAGCTACAATTTTTTTGCTAAAATTGCTTCCACAATTTTATTGGCTCTATACAATAATGAATAATGTACTAATAAATTAGTAACAATAGTAGTTTTTTTTAACTTTATAAACCAATGTTGCCTATACATTGTAGCTTACTAACTATGGAGTTGATGAATTAACTAATTAGTTAATGACAGCATAATATTACTATCATTGATAATTTTTGACATCAAAAATTAAAGCTACAATTCATTTGCCTCAGGAAGTTAAGCAGATCAAAAACTTTATTATTTGTAATCATACACAAAAGCATAATGTCACCAATTTTTTTGTATGATCTGCACTTATCACTTATCAGTTTATCGATCTGTCGTTTAATAATACAGTGCATGGCACAAAAAAGATTTTAATCTCATGTTAACAAATAATCACTTTCCCAATGGAGCTATCAAAAAGAACAGATTCCTTATAGCATTTGTAGAAGTCTAGAGAATGGGAATTCGATGGAAACATAGACAGGAAGTGGTATGCCAGCGAAAAAAATTACCCAGAAGAAAAGAGACGCCTTAATTAGTTACAGCCACGGTAAACTTAAAATTTCACTGAAGAAACTTGGGCACAAATTTAAAATCGACAAGAGAGAATAATTAATGGAGAATAAAATCAGTACTTGCAAAGCGAAAATCAGCCCGATGATATTCAGAAAAAGGAAAATTGCAACAGGTAGAAAGCCAACGTTATTGCTGCATATAATGATTTAAACATTAAGTTTATTCCTAAGGACAAAAATGTTCTGAACGTTCTTCAACTGCGACCAATTGAACGTTTTTGGAGAAATCCAAAGAGGAATTTGTCTGAAATTTGGTAGGAAGTCCCCAAACATATCATCATGGGTGAAAATCTGGTAGACAAAAATATCGAGTTCACAAATTTAACGCGTTCTGTTTAAACAAAAATGGCGGAGAAAGTAGATAAGGTGCATACTGTGTTGTTTAATGTTGGTGTTATAAATATGTTAACAGTTACATTTTTAATTCGTCATTTAATAATAAAGTTATGCTAGTTTGAAATTTGTGCAGCTTTTTTTCTCCACAGCTTTAGTCTTATTTTATATTCGCAGTCTTATTTACATATGTTGCTTAAAAAAAAGGGATGGTGCAATTTATTTGACTGATTAAATCGAAAACAGCTTATCTAATTTGTCCAAACTTCTGCGAACACAGTAATCTTGCCACTAATACTGATAATATAATCGCAGTAATTAATTAATAGTAAATAATAATTATTAAGATGATCTCACCTAAAAAAAGTATGAAATGCTTCTTTACTTGTGGTTTAAAAATTTAGAAAAAAATTTCTTATTTTTTGTTTAACAAATTGTGCTCCAGAGGTGAAGAAAGTTCTAAGTGACCTTAGACAAATCTTTATTTTAATAGAGTCTAGCTTACAAATTAAATATTAAAATGTTAAAGATATTAAACTGTATATAAAAGGAAATACAGGAAATACGCATTAACACTAGAAAAACTCGCAAAGATTTTTACGGCTGAATGAATTAATATAAAAAAAATTGATGGTAGACCAACTGGTTTTTATTATCTGTCCAAAGATGGTTGCATTAGATAACAAATATTTATAATCAAAAATTTTTGAAATGTGGCATTTGAACTGGGATGACGTCATGGACTTTAAATTCAATAATATTCAGTTGAATTGTGTACCACTTTTGAAGAATGAACGTAGTGGATTTTTTTGTTTGGTATATACCAGTGCTTACTCTCTGTTAACTGGAACTGCATAGGTCAGAAAGTTGAAATGAATATATTTTTTGCAAAAAGGAAATGATGTATTGAGTATTACTTTACCGAAAGTTTATCATAATAAAAAACGAGAACAATTTAAATGCGCACTAGTTTTAATGAAATGTGAAATAAATCACAGCATTATTAAAGACATTTCAGCACAGAAGAAACTATTTCAGCATTTGTAAAACTGAAAGGGCTTTAAATAAAAGAATGGCAGATAATGTTTTCTATTTGCGCAATAAATAATGCAAGTTAGAATTATTTAATTAAATTTGCTCATTCGTTAAAATAACTGTTTCAATCCAATCAATTTGTATTTGAGAAAAAATAAATGAGCAACAAGCAATGTTCCGTAAATTACTAAAATGTGCATTAGTTCACACTAAAGTGGGCATTACACTCCCACTCTTTAAAAGACGTGTCATGTGCTTCATTTCGCGCCAGCTCGGCAGGGAAGGTATCCGCCCTTCTAAAGCCAAAAAACCATGAATTATTATTAAATAAATTAATAATGTTTAGTAATTGATTTTTTTGATGAAAGAATGTTTATTTTAAGTTTCTTTGTTAATTTTTTCGAAACTTTTAATTTGTTTACCTACCTTTTCGCTATGAATATCTTATGTTTTTGTTAATTTTGTATGTCTTCATAAAACACATTTTAATACAGCAAGTCTATTTTTGTTTGTTATTTTCTATACAGTAATGCACGCAGTACAGAAAATCATTGTCCAAAACAATAATTTTATTATTCCAATTTGCACTTAATATATTGCACAAAATGCGAAAACTTATGGCGCAACATAGTAAATTTAATGCACAAATGTTATTGCACATAGTATAAAATTTAATGCACAAAGTATTAAAAATAACGGTCTAGGACAATTGACCAGTAAAGTAAGGTTAGAATTTAGAATGCGCGGCAGTTCATAATTCAAAAATTCTACTATGGGTTTCTTATGGGAGCTTGATTTTAAAGACAAAATACGCCGCATAGGTAGAAATCTTAACTAGTTCATGCTACAAGCGATAAAGACTGTACAATTATCTTTCTGTTACTAAAGGTTTAACTATATAAAAAGCTTCTATTAAAGAAATATTGCAAATTAAAAACAGCTCTATCCATCGAAGTAACGTACATCGTTTCTAACGTCTTGCGCATGAGTGAAACGGAAAATCCAGAAACCCTTGGGAAAGAAAAAGAACGCGAATATTTTGCGGTACTAGTGACGTTTAGATCGTGAAAATCCCCAAAATATTACAGTTGATTTCGTACTTTAATCACAACAAACAATCATAATCAATTTTTGGGTGATACTATTTCTATGATATTAGTTCACATTAGGTTGTATATGTCTGTGGACTGTTTTTTTTTGTATTTGTTATTAATAATGACAGAAAGACATGTGTTAACAATAGGGGCAATTACCAATTTTTTTTTTGTTGACGATCGGAAATGCATTGTGAACGGAGAAAATTCTTTGCAGTCAAATAATATGGTGAAAGTCAATTGGCATACTGAATTAAATTAAATGTGCTTGAAGAGTTTATTCGAGCTAGAATGCGAAATAACCAGGTATAAGGTTATGGTAAGTTAACGTATGTTGATTAAAGTTCTGTATCAAGTACAAGTATGAGGTATTTTGTTTTATTTTGCACAGATATTCCTTAAGAGAGGCAACATGTGAAACCCCAAGAGGTACATTTGTATGTCACCATATGGCTACACCTGCCCTACACGGCGTTCTTTGGACGTACATCTGAAGAAAAGTGAATCAGCTGAGGTCAGAGCTGTGATCTCTGAAAATTCTTTTAATCCCCAAGTCAACCTAAAAACAGCTAATGTTGAGGTACAACTTCATGAAAGCTTACGACAAACTGATGAGAGCGAAGCACTGGACTATTGGGCTCTAAACCAGAAAGATCTCAAGAAAATCTACTTCACAGTGTCGAAGAACTATTAGTGTCTGAGGACTATTTAAATGGACCATCAAGACGACAGTTTGTGGGCCAGTTTTTCACCAAACGTGAATCAGATTTTGCATTAGGAAGTGCAATTTTTTATTGTAGAATATTTTTTTTTGTTTTGAAATAAATTGTTCTTTAAATTGTGATTTTTTTTAAATGGGCGTTTCAGACCCAATTCGTACAAAATGAAAGTAATTTTTACTTGTACATGAAAGGTTTAATCAGGAATGCTAAGTTTTTCCTTTTCTAGCAAAAATGTGTATAAAGAAAAAAGCTTGGGATTGATGATGATTCTTAAATCAAAATTTGGCAATTGATTGAAAACTCTCCTTTATGTATTATTTTAAATTCACAACCGTATCTGTAGCATGTGAAAATCAAAGCCATTTATGTGGAGGGGAAACTCAATGGCAGTATGAACCACTGTACGACATACGTTCGAGGCAAATGTAGTGGTAAAAGTTGAATTTATATATTTATTAAATACCACCGGTTCCGTTCATGTTTGGTGTCAAGATCAACAGTAAAAATATCAGTCTTCATGGTACAAGTAGTGGGAAATATAAGAAAATTACTTTAATGGTAGAATTTAAGCGTTAAAATGACGCCTCGATTTCACCCATAAGGATTACACAGGGAACTGAAATACGGGTCTCGTGTTATGAACTGAGTTCAAATTTCGCGCGTCATTCACTTGACTGGTCAAT